TATTTAGGAAAAATGAACTATGCAACTATAAAACATCCAGGGGAGGGATGATGAATCCAAATCAACAATATTATTATATTTAGCCTGAAGCTTTTTATAACCCAGGAATGTGGCAGAATTTAGTATTCTTGTATCTTATGTCTGCATGGCCAGATAACCCCATAATGTTTAAATGTCTTGAATCTAGATTTATAAAAAAAGAAATTTGTTATATGGCATGACAAAATGTAGAACATAAGTTATATGGCATTTCCAAATTTTCTTAGAAATAGTTAGCTCTTCTCTGCCTGAGTCAATCCTTCCCACCCCCACTACCACCACTGTATATATTTTAAGGGAAAACTTAAAAAACGGGGAACTTCCAGGACGTCAGGAAATGTGAATGCTTAAAGCTGGAAGGTAGAAACAAAGAAACAAAGAAAAGAATGCTTGTTTGATTGTCAGCATTGATTAAAAAATGATATAATTGAGATGGTTTTGGTCAATATTTACCATTAACCATTTCTCATTAAATGAATGAACATATTGGTATATTGACGTTCATTAAGATGAGTTTCATTGCCCCATCCCTTCTGATGATGGAATTAAACTAAATTTATTAAACTGTAGCATAAAGTACCTATTTTATACATGAATACCAGTCATAAAGTGACCATTTACATAGATAATCAAGTGGTCTCTGCTCTCTTAGTTTATTTCAAATATAACCTTAAAGGCCTAAGTAAATGTATATAGCATGGGACAGAAACCATATGAACATACACCAAGAAGAATACATACAATGTAAAAAGCCAACCATTCAAAATTTATACCAGCTATGTGCATCCATAGTTCTCAAGACTATGCGTGAGAGTGAGGCCCTGTGGGTGGTATCACAGAAGCTTAGAGCTGGCCTATAGTTTACAGATGAGATCTTTGAAGCCTAGAAGCCTAATAAGTGACTCATTCAAAGAAATGGACCACATTGGTGACACAGCCAAGATTATTGGAGCCCATGAACCCTAGCCCCAGGTCTGATGTTCTTTTTATTACATCATTCTGACTTTCTAGAGTTGAAATGAAATCTAGATAGGAGAGTGCATTGAGAACTCTGGGAGATCTTTGTAAACCTAAAATTCTAGTAAAGCTGCTGAAGATAAGAGAATGAACGTTATGAATATATTTACACCAGATGTATTAAAAATGGCATCATCAACACCTGATTTAGGTGTCCACTTGGATTGATCAGTCTCAGATTTGTCTCTCATCTCCTTGCCTTGTGTTTATTCAAACGCAAATCTTTTTGAGATGCCTGCGTTAGCTGTGACGCTCAAGGAAATCAGTACCCATTTGCCTGTATCCCGTTTCTCACTGGAGGCAGAGCCTTACTTCATGGGCAATTTAATTTAAGGTGTTTTATCAGTTCATGGTTTCTAATAACTTCATGTTCATAACAACAGAAAAAATAGCGCAACCTTTGTTGCACCTTAAGAAGTAAGTTTGTTTAATTTGTCAATACATGTCAATGATAAGAAGTTCTGTGTCCGTAGCACCCAGATTCTTTGTGATGACTTAGGAAAAACGGGCATCGCTTCATCACAGCATACAATTTCGAAGAAATCTCTTCTAAGAATTTGCACTAGTGCAAAAGTGTTAAAACCTTCGTTTCTGCTTAGTTCTTATTTTGCAAGTATAACTTTTTTTTTTTCAATGACCCTGACCATTCCAAACTACAGAGTAGGCCTAATAGGGACATTTGCAAAGTGCATATAATGATACTGGAATTCATTAAGAATTAATTTCTCTGAGAGTTTATGACAGGGTGGCGGCGGGGGACAGAAAATAATACATAAATTGCTACTATATTCTATTTCTGGAAAATCTAATCTTGTTTTCTACCTAATCAGAGAGTTAAATGATTAATTTAACCACTTACATTATCACCATGAGAGTCCACTAAATAGATTTAGATCATTTCTAAGACTTGGTGGTGGCACAATGGGACGGCTCCATTGCCTGACGGCTGCCCTCCCATCTTCATCAGCTCCCTGACGTTTACCCCTGATAAGCTCACAGCCTAAATAAAAACAGCTCGCTGGCTTTCCACAGAGTCTCCAGGCACGTCCCCGACTCCTGCTCCTCACCAGACAGTTACTCTGCATTCCATCTTCTATAGAAACTGTAAGCCACAGCTATTATGACCCCCTCCATCTCAAAAGAGAGATTGTACTATTGGGCTAGGGTCCTAATTTGTAGTAACTTCTTAAATAGCTTAGTAACCTCGGTGAGGTCTTTGCTGTTGTATGTTATAAACCCTTTTTATTCTTAGGAAGGGTGAAAGTGGAGGGATGTTTTCTTCAGTGTTTCAGCACACCCTCTTAATTAAGCTCCTGCAGGTCAGCGTGTAGGACATGTTGGCACTTTGATACCCATAAGCCCAAACATACAGTGTGCAGATGAGAAACCCTTTACTCTGTTATTGGGCCCGAGGCAGTCTTGGTACCCAGCACTGAGTTTGATGCCACTGTGTTAAAAGGGGGCATAAGAGTGAATGAAGGACTTGTTTCTTTATGTTTCTGATAATCATCAGAGCCCTTCGGAACTACTATTTTCATCCCTTTGTTTAATAACACTGTCAGCCATTTAAATAAAAGATACATATGTTAGAATATATATCTGTATTTGACTATTATGTTAGAAAGTTTTAAAACTTTCTAATAGCTCGCTTGGCATGTGTTAGACAGGGCTCCCCAGCCTATGTGGCATATGTGGGTTACAGATGTGCTCAAGCACGGCCTCCCTCAGCCCAGAAGGCGGTCAGAGGAGTCTCCGAGCCAGCCAGGTCCGGCCGCCAGCAGCCTGGCCACGGACCCTGCTACTCCCTTCCTACCAATTTCAGTTTTTATTGTACTAGGAAGTATAGTCAAAGATTGAGAAGCACTGTGTTCAGCACAGCTAGGGATTTTAGAGTTTAATTTTATTCTAGGTACCAGCGAGAGCAGGAAGGAGCGTAATACTTTCTTGCTGTAATTTCTTGTTCACAAGCACAAAGGAAAAAAGATTGCTAAATCTACCATTTTTTTGCTATAGACAAAGAATCAAGACCGTCTATCAGATAATTCCTATTCAATTCAACTGGGTAAAAAATGTTGCCTTTTTTTCATGGCTACTCTATGAGGTATATGTCTAATATTTCTCTCTGCTCAAAGCGTGAACTGTTAGACNAGAAATTATTTTGACCCAGAAATGATTCAGAATGGTTTTACTGATATTCCTGCTTCTTTCTACTTCCTGTCATCGTTTGAATGGTGATGAATTAAGTGTGTGTGTGTGTGTGTGTGTGTGTGTGTGTGTGTGCACGCATCTGCCTATATAAAATAAATAAATTTTGAAAAATTTTCCCTGAGTAATTGTATACATTGGTTTGATTTTTAGCATACTGTATTTGATCATTTGTCAGACACATTTAACATTTCTGCAATCGAATGTTGTTTAAATATAAAAATATATACTTATAAAAATATCAAATACGATGGTGTCAGTTTTAATTGGCAATATTTTTTTCTTTCTTGGTGTTCACATGAAACGATGAGGGGCCCCTAGTCAATAACATCTCAGATTTGATAAAACATGACAGTGGAGTAGAGAGCATTAAAGAGTAGAGATATCTGCCTGATATTTTAGTTTTACTATAACTAATGTTGAGCCAGTTTTTTGTGTGTTTTTTTTGGACACAGTTACATGATATCACCTCTCACTCTTTACTATGACTATGGGTTATGCATAAAGTTTATGGTAAAACAATGATAGACTCTTAAGTGGAGGTGAAGGTGGGAAAAGGGGAGAAAGAATCCGTAGGGAACCTCTTTTATGTACCAAAGTTATGATTTGATGTGTGTGGATCAAATCTTGTTAACCGTAATTGTTATAAATTTGTGGAAGCACTAAGAGTCAGTGATCCATGTCAAGGTGTAGTTAATTTCTGATCTTGCCGTCAAGGATACGTTGACTGATGGGTTAATTTAATCACGTACATGCACTGAGTATCTAACGTGATACCTGGCAATGTACTCAGCACTGCCAGCAATCTTTCATTGTTCTTGAGGGTTCCTTAATACAGTGAAATGAAATAGCACAACAAAGGTCAATAGTCAATTCACAGTACCCGAAACCTGCTCCTTCCTCAAACACTGTCCAGCTCAGAGATGAGATAGGCAGCTTCTTAAATAAAGAGCTGGCCTAAATGGAGAGCTGGATTCTTAGCCACAGCGAGCAGCCAACAAATGTTTGTTGACCATTGAGTGGTGATTAGCTAAGAAATGGCTGGGCTTATAGTTTAAGTGATTACATGAGAAAAGATTGGTGGTGTCGTTTATTATTGAAAATAGAATATACTTTGAGAATCATAAGGGGAATGGGAGCTTCTCAGACCGTTTGGGGCATTCCTGAAACAAAAAGTTAAATGCTTACGTTTTTCACCGTAGAAAACATTGATTCAAACTTTGAAAACACTTCTAGATGTTTCATGATAAATATCATATTGAATCAACAGATGTAGAATAGAAAAGTTCCCATAAATCAGCTTCAGCAAATCAGCAGTCCTTTCTTAGAAATCAAATGTGAATCAAATGATTAAGTAGAAATATTACATCTATGCTCGTGTTCATTTATTTTAATAGTGTCTCAGTACCTTGAAAGAGCGCAGCCACAGTATAGAAAGGGGGCGATGCAGTCTGATGACGCATCCTTCTTTTCTCTGGTAACTGAAGGTTAAATGGGTAGCAAGCAGAATGCCTTAAACAAGATTGGTATATTGATTAAAACGCTGATTTAACAGCTCGCAGTCTCCCCTTGGAAACCTGGCAAAGATAAGCCAGCTGCTGTCTAAGAGTGCTCAGTGTCCACTGAGAGTACACTATCTATCATCACAATATGGTGATGAGAGGTGTTTTATGTTTGTGTTAATTTCCCCCACTAAATCAGTAATTATTACAATGCTGTCCCTGCTGTTTACCCTGCAGCTGTTTTTCCATTTGTCGAGAGAGCGGGTGTTCTCTGAGGACCGCACACGTTTCTATGGTGCAGAAATTGTCTCTGCTTTGGACTATCTGCATTCCGGAAAGATTGTGTACCGTGATCTCAAGGTAAAAAAAAAAAAGTAATCAAAATTTGTTTTTGCAAAGACTATGGGGACAATCAAAGTAATTACAAAGTTACATGGTTTGGAGAAAAGCAGATTTGTTTGGGAAAGAAAGCACTCTGTTTAAGACTAGTTTACTGCGTTTGAGAGGACATTTCATTCACTAATAATGTGTGTAGTTCCTTTATGTTCGAGTTTTTGGTGTGCAAACAAATTTCTCCTTGACTGCTCTGATGAAGTATCATCTACCAAGAATAGTTTCATTTTTCTGTAAATGGTTTAAGTAACATTAAACATCTGATTATGAGTCAAGGCACTTTGCAAGTGACATTTAAAAATAAGTCTCATTAGAGCCTAACATCCTGTGATGTATTATGAAGAAACTTGTATAATAAGTTTATTGGGAGGAAAATATTTGTTTTGATTTTGGTATTAATTTTTTTGGTGGGTTTAAGTACCTAAAGCATTTTAATATAGTCTTTTATTAATTTGGTTAAAAAGTACTGTATTTGTTTCATTGGTAAGTGTGACTTGACTTCTCAAAGTTCCTTTCTGATGATATGCTCAGAAAAGCTCAGGGATTGGCAAATGTTCTTTAAAGGCCAAATAGGAAATATTTTAGGCTTTGCTGCCCAGACAGTCTCTTTTGCAACCCGTCCACTCTGCCATCGCAGGGTAAAAGGCGCTCGGACTGCACATAAATGAGTGTGTCTGGTTGTGTTCCAGTAAATCTTTATTTACCTAAACAAGGAGGAGGCTAGATTTCACCCATGGGCTATAGTTTGCTGACCCCTGGGGTAGCACATAAAAGGTGGTAGTGATTCTCATGACACTGTTTTGAATTAGATTGGCCATATTAAGGAAATTNAGGGCAAGAACTAGAAGAACAGGGCTTGGAGTATTTAGCTGATCATTGATAGCTGATACAATTACTACCAATTAGCTGTTCTCATGGTTCAATTGTCCTGTAGCATCCTAAGCATTTAATTTGTATTTTAAGAAATTTTATATTTAACTATGTTATTAAAATATGGCATTTTTATATTTATATCATGTCTATATCACTGTCCTTTCTGAAAGCAATGTACTTCAAAAACTAAATGTAAATTTATGTTACTTTGTATTAAGTTTTCTCTGTGAAATGCACGCAAACTGTGAGCTCAGCTTGTGAAAAGAATAGACATTATCTGGAAGGTGATTGATATGAATTACCTGCTAAGGGAAAGAATAAGTTTGCTTGATCCTATAAAAGTAGCCATTAAATGTTCCTTTTATCCTGTAACTAATGCTTTTCCAATCATGTAGTATAGTATTTGCTCTAGACTGAACATTTGTGTCTCCCCAAAACTCATGTGTTGAAACTCAGTCCGCAGTGTGATGTACTCGAAAGTGGGGCCTTTGGGAGGTTATTGGGCCATGCAGGTGGAGCCCTCCTCAATAGTATTAGCGCCCTCATAAGAAGAGGCCTCCGGAGAGTTCACTCTCCTTTTCCGCCAATGAGGACACAGCAAAAAGACCGCTAGCTGGCTATGAACTCCGAAGCAGGTTCTCACCAGACACCCATTGTGTCAGTGCATTGACTTTGGACTTCCCAGCCTCCAGAACTGTGAGAAATAAATTTCTACTGTTTATAAGCCACTCAGTTTATGGTATTTTGTCATAGCAGCCAGTGCAGACTAAGACAGTATTGTTCATTAGCTTCCTGTAGGTGAGCTGGAGCCATTCTTTTCATCTTGGGTCTTTTTGTAAACCCAAGGGATGGGCTAAGCAGCATGACTGAACAGACTGCCATATCTCAGGGCTTAATTAATTAGTTGTCTTTAGGATACTCAGGTTCCAATTTCAATTAATATTATGATAATGAATGTAATCATTTAAATTAACGAGACCTGTATTGAGCATATTTTGTTATTCTCTCATTAATCAGTCTTTTACTGTTACAAAGGAAACACTAAAAGCTGTAGGCAGTATTTGCAAGAAAAAAAGATATAATTGAGTTTAAAATCTAAGATTGCAGTAGTAATTCTCAGGACATTTTTCTGAGTCCAGATCTTTATTTTGGGGGAAGTTTGTTGCTTTAAGAATGTAACCGTTGTTTAAATATAGAAATTTATTGTCAAAATAAGCATTCTGGGTTTGTGCTGAGATATAGACTGTATATTTGTTTAGTAGGTTAAAATAATTTATTTATATTGCTGTATTTCTACAGCATGGCTAAGCACAACACACACAAAAAAGCATCTAGTCTTCGCCTAAAGGAACTTAAATTTATAAAGATGTGCTCCTTGCTTGAGCAGCAAATAACATTCTTTTTTAAAATGAAAACAAGGTTCTTCAGTTATTGAATAGGGTTTATTTTTTGTTTGTTTCTAATAAAAATACTTCACCTTCAGAACCTTAGTCCTTATTTTCCTTTTAAATAATTCTTTGGGAAGTAGGATTGAATTTAACTTTATTCTTTGCAATACATATATATTAAATGCATACGTGCTTCATATCAGGTATGGTGCTGAGGGTGCAAAATTATAGAGTACTTGCATAGTCTTTCTTTTTACTCTGTGCCTCTGCCAAGGAAAAAATAAAGAGAATATTAAATTTGTCATTAGCCTAAATCGGTACAAGGATCAACAATATATATTTTAGAAACCTAGATATATAACTTTTTTTATTATAAAAGTAACAATTGTACATACTCAATGCAAAAAACATCCAAAAGCCAAAAAGTTATTTCAATTCAATTGAAACACAAGTTTATTGGCTGCTTGCTACAAGCTGGTTTCTGTGCTGTGTGTTTAGTACTTACTATATGACACAAACGAGACAGGGTCTCTGCATTTAAGGAAAGCACAGTGTTGCTGGGGAACAGATATTAACCAAATAATTACAAGCAGTTTTCAAGATCTAAAACAAATAGAAGCCACTCTAAATCTCACCATCTAGCATTAATTACTATTACCATGTTAATATATTTTTCTGGTTTTTTACTATATATATTTTTTTCCATTTTATTTAATATTGTCAAATATATACTGGTTGTCTACTAATTAATT